GTTTTAAAAATAAATAAATATCTTAAAGTTGTCAAGGTTGAAAAATACTGCCTTAGATCATTGCAAGGCTCTGTTCCATTGTTAGTTCAGCTGTCCTATCAGAAGGTCAAAAGTCAGTGCTGCAGGAGTTGCTCTCACTTTCTTCTCAGCTTTGTCAATAACATCTTTAGCACTGTTCTAGGTGACTCTCAAACTCTTAGAAATGCTATTGCATTATCTCTTCAGAAACTCCCACAGTCCTTCAAAATTCATGAATTTTCCTCAGCCACTGTCCTGTATCATCCGTCTTTAAAAAAATCCCGTTTGTATCAAAAGGACTGTATCTTAAACAGTTACAGTTACATCATTATTATAATATTTTTCTCTTATATAAATATTAAAATAGCAAATACACCTAGTACTCCTGCCTCCTATTTCCCCCACAACAACAACGATCCTTTGAGGTGGTTTGGCTGACAGAGACAGACTGGGCCAAAGTCCTTCAGCCGGCTGCCATGCCTAAGGGAGGCCTAGAACTTACTGTCTTGTACTTTCCAGCCAGCATCTTAACTGGCTCTCTTTCATTATTATATATTATACCCAGCTACTGCCATCATGTTTTCAAGATAAAATATGTCTCAAATCTAAAAATGCTTACAATCAAAGCATAATTTGTAATAATTTGCTGTGCTTTAAACATAAGTGTTGAACAGAGCCAGTTTCGTGTAATGGTTAAGGTGCTAATTGGAAAGTAGGAGACAATGAGTTCTAGTCCCACTTTAGGCATGAAAGCTGGTTGAGGGACTTTGGCCCAGACTGTCTCTGTCAGCTCAATCCACCTCACAGGATTGTGGTTGTGGGGAAAATGGGAGGAGAATAATAATAAAATAATAAATATATAATAATATATTAATAACAATAATAATATAATATAATAATATAAATAATAATATTTCTGAAAATAATAAAAGCAGGATAAAATCTACTAAAAATAAATGTATAAACATGCAATGTGTAATATTTATGCTGTGCCAAATTTTTGAGAGAAACTGTTATGTCCTAGTACATGGAGAAGAATGGAGTTCTTAAGATGCATCTATAAAGTATTGGTTACCTAAAAAGATATTCAATATCTTCATGGAGTTTATCTAATATAGCTTTCCCAGACTTAGTGCCCCTGAGGACTGTTGAAATATAACTCCCCTTTCCCACAACCAATGTATTATTTGCCTGTGCTTTGTGGGAATGACAAAAGCTCTAGTTCAATACATCTGAAGACCACTGGCTAAGGAAGCAGATCTAATCATAGTACAACTAGACAGAAGCTTTTGTCTTCAATTGGCTACTGCAACAGATGTAAATTTGGAACAGATAACAGGGCAAGTCAAAGAAGAAATTGTGGTCCTGATTACCAGTTCTTCTTGATAGTAAATGTAAATTCAAAACTCACTGCAGAAAAAGACTAGACATCACTAGGGGCTTTAAAGCTAGTCAAGATAACACCACAATTCACATTCTACTCCATAAAGCCTGACAGGAAAATTTATGTAAGCAGTTATAAATGTAGTGCTCTGAAGCAAACAGCTTTCTAACAAAAAACAGCTGATAAGTGCTAACGTTCTGATGATGAGTTTGAGGTAGAATAGTTCAAAGAAGCACTGTGGATGGGCAGAGATGGTGTGCTTCTTTTTGCTCTCTACATCAAGGGAGAAGGCATGTCAGATCTATTGTTGAAGCAGGAAATAAAGTTGAAACCTGATCTCAGAAGAAAGCAGGACATTGACTTTCACCTGCAGGAAAAGATATGGTTCCATAGGGTATCCCTAGAAATCAGATGGGAGACATGAAGGGATGCTCACTGTATAGGGATATTTATCATACAAATCATACAAATACATATCTAAGAGCCAGTTTGGTGCAGTAGGTGAGGAAACATGAGTGTTAGTTTCACCCTCTAGGCAACCAGTCACTCCCTCTCAGTCCTAAGAAAGCAAGGGTAAATCACTTCCAAATCTTTCCAAGAAATAATTTTAGCAGTCACCAGTACTCAAGACAAGCTCACATACAAACATAAAAATGTATGCATGAGAAAGTGTACATGATAAATCTTACTTCACAGAAATGGCATCAGTCTCCAGTTTTGCTAACTGAACCCTGAGTAAGCACCACAACAATTGAAATTTCTCACTGTGCTTGGTCTTTTATTACAAACTCACCATAGCATCTTTCTCTTTGGCGGATAAACAACAGTTTAGCAAATCATCTCTTCACAGTCTACTGGTTAAGATCAAATATGGGGTGCTAAGTAAATCTGATTGGTCTTTTCTCTTCCATATAGTTTGAAATGACAATGGCAAGACAGTTCATTGATAGCATCTGTAGACTAGATAGATAGGCTAGATAGAAATCTGCACCGCATACACTTTTTGTGCTATTTGTGTAATAAATAAATGTCAAACAAAGAATGTATGATCCTATTTTAGCAGCAGTGGCGAATATGTTTCAAAACTGGAGCATTGTGAAAGACTGATCAAGTGTCTAGAACAGTGGTGGCGAACCTATGGCATGCATGCCAGAGGCAGCACTCAGAGCCCTCTCTGTGGGCATGCGCGCCATGCCCTGGAGATGGCAACCATCCTCTTTAACCACTAACTCGCCGAGGTCCTACATGGCTGGATGAATCCCAGCACCCATGTGCTTGCTGGCCTCTGTGTGTGGAGGCTGATGGTGTCAAGCAGCAGCCGCCCTAGCCCCTGCCTCGCCTTGCCCTGCAACAATGGCAACCCCGCCCCGCCCCATCTTGCCTCGCCTCACCCCACAGGACGAGCCTCCTGCCCACCATCCCACCCGATACCCCCTGGATCTCCCCCAACCCTGCCTGGTCCCCACAGGCATCTCTCCCCAGGAGCAACATTGAGCTGGCCATGCCCATCCAGTGGGCCACACCCACCCAGCGGGCCATGCCCACCCGGCACCCGGCAATATGTAAGTGGATTTTGGGTTGCAGTTTGGGCACTCGATCTCTAAAAGGTTCGCCATCACTGGCTTAGAATATGGCAGTTCTATGATCATAATTACCAAGAAACTGTTGGCCAGTTTCTAAAATCCCAAGGAATACAGGTAACCTCAATTTAAGACTACAGTTAAGCCCCAGAACTCTACTGCTGTGCAAGACAGTTGTTAAGTGAGTTTTGCCCCATTTTATGACCTTTCCTGTCACAGTTGTTAAATGAATCATTGCAGTTGTTAAGTTAGAATGGTGGTTAAGTGAATATGGTTTCCTCATGAACTTTGCTTGTCAGAAGGCTGAAAAAGGTGATTCCCATGACCCCGGGACACTGCTGCCATCATAAATACATGCCAGTTGCCAAGCGTCCGAATTTTGATTACGTGATTACGGGGATGCTGCAACGGTCATAAGTGTGAAAAATGGTCATAAATCACCTTTTTCAGTGACATTGTGATTTTGAATGATCATTAAACAAATGGTTATAAGTCAAGGACTACCTGTACCGCACTGAAAGCCCACATATCCAATAGTACCATGTGGCAATACGAAGCCAAACATTTTACTAAGCAGAAGATATGGGATGTATAAAATAAAGGATTATTGTAGCCTCAGTTTATATTTTATTTAAACAGGAGCTCCCATTTAATTTTTGAGCTAAGAAAATATAATATGTAGTAATTCCATGTTTTGAAACTAGAAGAAACACAGGATGTCATTAATCATTAATCCATTCAGATAGGAGATCCCTAAGTTTAAACCCTTCTGGGTCTATCTGGGTCCTTTGAACAACTTTCAGGTCTCTTGTTGGGTTTATGTGAAAATAAGAACTAAACAATATGGGCAACATATCAATGCAGCATTAAAGGAAACAACTAAGATCCTCAGATGTATTCCAAAGAATTATTAGGTTTCAATTCATATTTTTTAAAATCAAATATTTAAAGGTTGTATTTAAATAGGGGACAACTTTCAGTACATAAAATGCATTGTTGAGTCATGAGTTCAAAGAATAATAAATTTTCAGCTAGGAAAACTTTTCTATATGTGCTAACTTATCAACACTGTTATCCATCAAATTTTCATTATTTCCCTAGAATTCATTAGATGTAGACAATTACTTTAAGGGAAAAAAAAGATGAATATTACCCAGGCACAATCTGTCTCAGGTACCAAGATCTGCATTATTACACCAGAGACTGCATCACAGTCTGTTTCTATTCCCCAGGAATAAGTGTTCTATTAACTTTATTTCCAAACTTAATTACGATGTGAGGGAAATGAGTGATAAAGTATAGTACTAATATATGATATCTGAATATGCATGTATCATTTATGGACTGTAAAAATGTGAAATGGAGCAGATGCAGAGTACACAATTTCATGCGTTCTTTGAGGGGATGGTAAAGAAAAGGCAAGAAATAAAGTTTATTTCTTTTGATTCACAGGGAGATTTATTTCACAGGGTCTTCAAGCTCTTTAGTTTCCAAGCTGCCAATAAGCACAACCTGTATTTGTAGCTGCAGTTTTGCAGGAACTTGCAGGGAGTAGAGATAAAAGCCAGCCTAATAGTTTACAGGCATTAATTAGAAGAGGCTGAAGGTGATTACATAGCTTGTTCTAGTTTAATTAGTGAGCTTTGCTTAAAAGTAGCATGCTGGACATGAGAACCTAGAAAGAACCAGCTATGGTTTTTTTGCAATCATCTCCAAGAAACCTACCAAATATAGACATTGATTCTTTTAAACACACCGCCCAGTTATTTGCCATATGATCAGAAAAGTAAACAAATGGAGCTCAGGATCAGAAGGAAAACTGTGAAGTACATTTTGATTTGGTTGAACAGTGTAATAGTGTGTAGGATTGAGCTTGGGAGACAGGAGAAAGAAATTGGACAGCCATCATGCAAAAAAGTACCTCAGCCCATAGAAACAAGGGAGGGCAGGGGAAATGTGTCAGTGTCAGAATATCCGATGTCGTCCGTAGCGCGAAGGCAAAGAAGACCGGCACACACTGACACCCAACAAGCACTTTATTATGCAGGTGAGATAAAGTCAGCACTGGTGTTAGTTACCTCCCACCGCCATATATTGGCGTGCTCCACCCTTTGGGTCCGCCCCCGGTTCCAAACCACCATCCGCTTCAAATGAATAAATGCTCCACCCTTTCCCTGTGCTTTCCCTTTCCCCGACGGAACTCCGCCCCCACCCCCCGTTGTCCGTGCGCCCGAACTGCGCGTCAGTTGCCCGCCGCCAAACTTACCCTGCCTACTGTCCCGGTTGCGAAAGGATAACCCCCCACCCCCCTTTGCTGGGTCCGGCCGCCGGAGTGCAGTCCTTTCGGCCCCAGATGGCCCGTCCATCGCCCTCCCTTCCGTAAAGCGCAGCTGGCATTCATGGTCCTCCGACCCCGTCGGTGACTGGCCTCCCTTAGGCTTCGCTGGCGTCTGTGGCGCAGCCCGCGGAGATGTCTGCTCAGTTGACGTTCGGCTGGTGCAGTCATGGGGCGTGGCGGGGCAATGCTCAGCTGTTTCCCGGGTTGGTAGGTCGTTATCCGTGCTCCCCCGTCCCCGTTCGTATGGCAAGCCTTTAGGGGCTTGACATGCGGCCCCCTTTACCACGTGTCCCCCTGGAAAAGAAAGGGAAGGGGCTGAATGTACCATGTTACATCTGTCTCGCCCTGGCTTCCCCGGGCACTTACGGTGAAACGTTCGGATTAGGTTAGGTGCGTTTATATCCTCCTCTCCCACCCAGGTTGCGTCCGACAACGGGTATCCTTTCCATCGAAGGAGGTATTGGGTCTTACCATAGCGCCTACGTGAGTCTAAGACTTCCTGCACTTCATAATGGGACCCCGAGACCGGCCCGGGTGCTCTGTCAGCGTAGGGACTTTTATGTGCAGGTTTGAGCAGGCTACTATGGAACACGGGATGAACTTTGCCTAGAGAGGCGGGTAGCCGTAATTGAACCGTCACCGGGTTGACTACTTTGAGGATCTGGAAGGGACCCACATATTTCGGCCCCAGTTTTTTGCATGGCACCTGCAAGCGTAAATACTTGGTGGCTAAATATACCCAGTCTCCCACCTGGAACGGTTTGTGCTCTGCTCGTCTTTTGTCGGCTTGGAGTTTGGCAGCGGCCTCGGCCTTTCTCCGTGCTTCCTTCACCCGGTCCCACAACCCTGTGATCTGGGCGTACCATGTTTGAGGGGTCTGGCCGCTAGCTACCTCTGGTGACAGGTTGGGAATGGGGTTAAACTCCATCCCATACACTATTTTAAACGGGGTATATCCCGTACTGTTGTGGACAGTGTTATTATACGCCACTTCAGCAAACGGCAAGAGGTCCACCCAGTCCGTTTGCTGAAATGACACATAACTCCGGAGGTATCTTTCCACCATGGCATTTGCCCTTTCTGCCGCCCCGTTGGTGCTCGGATGATACGCTGAACTCAACGCCTGCGAGGACCCTAGTGTACGAACGAACTCCCTCCAGAATCTCGCGGTGAATTGCACCCCTCTATCCGACACAATTCTTCTGGGTATGCCATGGAGTCGGTAAACGTGTTGAATAAACAACCGTGACAACCACCGCGCTGATGGCAGGCCCTTGCATGGGATAAAATGCGCCTGTTTGGAGAAGAGATCTATCACGGTCCATATCACGTTGTAGCCCCGGTTGCCAGGCAGGTCTACAATAAAATCCATGGCGATCTCTTCCCACGGCCGGGATGGATCAGCCACTGGTTGTAACAACCCTATGGGTTTCCCTACTCGGGGTTTGGCACTGGCGCATACGTGGCATCCTCTGACATACCGTTCCACATCTACCTTCAGTTTGGGCCACCAGAATTGTCGTCGTAATAGATGTAGGGTCTTTATAAACCCAAAATGGCCCGCTTGTTTTGCGTCATGGCATTGTTGGAGTACGGCTAAGCGTAGCTTCTCGGGCACATATATCTTACCGCCTTTCCATGCCACACCGTCCCGAGTTGTTAAGCACCCTGAATGCTTATTCGCCCATGTATCCGTCGGCAGGGCAGCTCTAATAGCCTCTAGGTCACTTACCTGAGACCTGTGACTTACAGTCTTAGCGGTATCATGCCGCGGAGGCGGCACTAGTGCTTGTATGACCTCCTCCCGTTTGCTATGGTACTGCGGCATCCGCGACAATGCGTCGGCCAGAAAGTTTTTTCCTCCCGGCACATACCTCAGTGTGAACCGAAACCGGTTGAAATATTGGGCCCACCGGACATGTTTGGGGGCTAAGCGCCTCGGGGTCTGTAGCGCCTCTAAATTCTTGTGGTCTGTCCACACCTCAAACGGCCGCTTGGCCCCTTCTAACAAATGCCTCCATGTTGCTAGAGCCCAGCGGATCGCGAAGGCCTCCTTCTCCCAGACGGTCCAGCTACGCTCGGCCGTCGTGAACTTCCGCGAGGTATAGGCACATGGCTGCAATGCTCCCCCACTGTTCTTCTGCAACAGCACCGCCCCCACTGCCACATCACTTGCGTCCACCTGTACTACGAATGGAGCACTCTGGTCTGGGTGGCGCAATACGGGCTCTTTGGCAAATAACGTTTTCAGCGTCTCAAATGCCTTTTGGCAACTCATAGTCCACTCTATTCGTTGGCTCGGGCGAGGTCTCATCGCCAGGTGTCTTGTCCGTAGCAGTTCCGTGAGGGGATGCACCACGGTGGCAAATAACGGAATGAACTGGCGATAAAAATTCGCGAATCCGAGAAAACTTTGCAGTTGGCGTCTCGTCTGGGGCGCTTGCCATTCCTGTACTGCTTGCACCTTGCTCGGGTCCATTTCTACCCCGCTCCCCGATATACGGTAGCCCAGGTAATCTAATCGCTCCCGGTGGAACTCGCACTTAGACAACTTTACATAAAGTTGTGCCTCCAATAACTTCCGTAGCACCTGCCTCACCAGACTGACATGCTCCTCCCTTGTTGCGGTGTATATTAGAATATCATCTAGGTACACGAGTACCCCGCGGTATAGGTGTTCATGCAATACCTGATTGATCAACTGCATGAACACCGCCGGGGCCCCCCGTAACCCGAACGGCATGACGCGAAACTGGAAGCTACCCAACGGACAGTTAAATGCCGTTTTCCACTCGTCGCCAGCCTTGATTCGTACTCTATAGTAAGCCTCCCGTAAGTCCAATTTGGTAAATATACGTCCCGTTCCCAGGTGCGCTAACAAATCCTTCATTAGGGGGAGGGGGTATACATGCTCAACACATACTGCATTTAACCCTCGGAAATCAACACATAAGCGCAACGACCCATCCTTTTTTTCCTTGAACAGTACGGGGGCCGCTATTCGTGACCTAGCAGGCTGGATGAACCCCCGCGCCAAATTCTGGTCAATATATCTACGGAGTTCCTGCACCTCTGGTGATGTCATAGCGTACATCCTTGGTTTCGGGAGTTTAACTCCCGGCAATAACTCTATGGCGCAATCCGTTGACCGGTGAGGGGGCAGGTGATTACACTCCTCCTCGCTGAAGACCATTGCTAAATCCCTGTATTCCTCAGGGTATGTTACTTCCCCCTCCCCCTCCTGGAGTTGCGCCGTCACCTCCGGAGCCTCAGGAAACTGGCCTCCATTACTGCCAGTCTCTGGCATTGGGCCCCTCCCCAGACGCACCTTACGGTACCCTCCCTCCCACCAAATGGTTGGGGTCCATTTGTCCAGCCAGGACAACCCTAATATGACAGTCTCCGTCAAAGTGGGCACCACAATGAATCGCAAGACCTCCCAATGATCTCCTAGGTCCATGCGTACCCGTTCCGTCACGTGGGTTGCTGGGACTCCTCCCAACAGGGACCCATCCACTTGTTCGAACCGTATTGGTTGCGGTAATGGATGTATCCGGAACCCACTATCCACCGCTACCTTCCTACTCATCAGACACCGCGTGCACCCCGTATCGATCAAGGCTTGACACGCCTTCTGCACCCCTGTTACCGGACTCGTGAGAACTATAGGGAGGATAAATGGATTAATAGGGTCACTCACCATTGGATCGGCCAATACGTCGTCAGGGTTGTCCTCCTCGTCTCCCAGCTGGTACCGTGCCATAACCGTAGACTCCGCCATGACCGGAGACCCCTTGTTCGCCCCTGGGGTTGGCTGTTGAATAGTCGCCCTCGAACTTTCCGTCGTCTTCTTTACGGGCGTGGCTCTACCAATTGTTGCGCCCTTACGGGGGCTGGGTGCTGGGCAGTCGGCTGCTCGATGGCCCGGTTGGTCGCAGCGGAAACATCGGAAGCCGCCTTCTTTTGACGCTCCGGGTGGTTTTGGCGTTATCCGCTGTTGGTCCTGGCTTCCCTCACGAGGCTTCTCTCCGAGACGCCGCGGCCGCGGGACGTCCCCAATCCCTCGATATACAGCCTTAAGGCCTGCCTCGAGTTCGACCACCACCCTAAACCAGTCTCTCAATCTGTTGGCCACACCCCGGTACACGCAGGCTTGCCGTAGGTCATAGTCTAGGCCTGCTCTGAATTGGTGTACCAACATCCGCTCCGGCCATGAAGACTGCAATCGGCCGGCTAACTTCCGGAACTCTCGTACGTATTCGACGACCGGGCGGTTCCCCTGGTGAAGCGCCAGCAGGTCTGCCTCGGCCCTCTGCGCCCGGGTGGGATCCTCAAACCTCCCATGCAGCGCGTCCAAGAACAGCCCCGCATTCCCCAACTCTCGGGCATGGTCGCTGTACAGGTCGGCTGCCCATGCAGCCGCCTCCCCGCGTAAGGCGGCGGTAATGGCGCCGACCATAGCCCACTGGGATACATACAGCTGTGCAAACTGGTCCAGGTGACTTATGGCCTGGCCTAAGAACATTGCCAGGTGGTCGGGGTTCCCATCAAAGGTGACCGGGATAGGAGGAACCCCCCATGGATAGCCTGGACCCCACGGCCCCTGGGGTTGGCCTGGCCCGAGGTTCGGATACCCGGCCGTGAAGCCCTGCTGCTCCACACCCCCTGGCCTCGCTGAACCTTTTGCCCCGTCCCGGGGCCCGTCCGGCTGAGCTGAGTGCGCCTGGCCCGGTAGCCTGCTTGAAGGGAGACCCAGAGTTCCCAACCCACCCGTGGGAGTAGGCAGCCGCAGCCGCGGACTACTCAGGCGGAACCTAGATGAGGGGGTGCGGCCCGCAGCATCCCCTTCCGATCGCCACACATCGGCGGCGCCCCTGTAGCTTGCTTCGCCAAACCGATGGCGCAATATATCCATGGTCTCTTGGCCCGGGGCCGTAGAGTAGCTCCAGTCTTCATCATCCTCCATGGTGGCGCGTCTCTCCCTCCACCCCGAAAGACTGGGCTTCGGCTTCGGCGTTATTAACTGTTCGGTTTGCAATCCCGTTACTGCCGGGCTTTGCCACCACTCCTCCTGTGGCTTAGCGGCCCCTACCTCCCCCACGTCGAGTCCTGGGACCGCAGACAGTAGCAGTTTGGGCCGCACCGCTGGCTGGGCTGGCGCCGCCTCCGCCGCCGGGACCGCGTCCGCAGCCCCGTCGGTCGCCACCTCTCCCTCGGCCAGGGCGGGGCCCTGCGTTCCCTCTGCCATACCTGAGCCTGCACGTGGGAGCAGGAGGCTGGGGAAACGTTAGAAGAGTGTGGAGTGCTGACTTTTTGTCAGAATATCCGATGTCGTCCGTAGCGCGAAGGCAAAGAAGACCGGCACACACTGACACCCAACAAGCACTTTATTATGCAGGTGAGACAAAGTCAGCACTGGTGTTAGTTACCTCCCACCGCCATATATTGGCGTGCTCCACCCTTTGGGTCCGCCCCCGGTTCCAAACCACCATCCGCTTCAAATGAATAAATGCTCCACCCTTTCCCTGTGCTTTCCCTTTCCCCGACGGAACTCCGCCCCCACCCCCCGTTGTCCGTGCGCCCGAACTGCGCGTCAGTTGCCCGCCGCCAAACTTACCCTGCCTACTGTCCCGGTTGCGAAAGGATAACCCCCCACCCCCCTTTGCTGGGTCCGGCCGCCGGAGTGCAGTCCTTTCGGCCCCAGATGGCCCGTCCATCGCCCTCCCTTCCGTAAAGCGCAGCTGGCATTCATGGTCCTCCGACCCCGTCGGTGACTGGCCTCCCTTAGGCTTCGCTGGCGTCTGTGGCGCAGCCCGCGGAGATGTCTGCTCAGTTGACGTTCGGCTGGTGCAGTCATGGGGCGTGGCGGGGCAATGCTCAGCTGTTTCCCGGGTTGGTAGGTCGTTATCCGTGCTCCCCCGTCCCCGTTCGTATGGCAAGCCTTTAGGGGCTTGACAGTCAGAAGATACCTTCCCTAGTTTAAAAAGAAAAAAAGAAAAGAAAATGAGAGGAGAGGAGAAATATTTCAGTCTTGCAAGATTCTGTTACTGTAACCTTACAATAAAGGAAGTATTAGTAGTCATGGTTTGTGCTTCTTGTTTGGCTACCTCAAAGGGCTGACAAAGACCAAGATCGTATTTCTTTTTAAATGAAACATTTCAGGTACTGAAATGCATAAAATAGAAGGTGCTTTTATTTCTATTGGAGGCAGATTTTGGCTTTGGCCTGCACCCTAAACTAGCTGAGATTATTATTTTAGAAGACATTTTCCATTTGTTATACTTTGCCTGCAGTAACTGAAAGAATTATTTGGAAAATAACAGTTATCTGTTGACCTGGACCAATTTGAAATACGTTTTATTCCAACACGACCGAAGTATTCATTGTCAAAGCTATGTAATAAATATTTCCCCTTGGGGATTGCTGCGGTTTCACTAGAAAGTTGTCCTAAATAATGCAACTCACTATTTGTCACAAAATATGTATTTTTAATATTTTTTACCAATTTTGTAAAAAGCATTTTTTTTCTCAGCTGTCCAACAATTCTCAGTTGGAACAAAAATGTAAGGGCATTCCGTAAGCAAATCTTGAAAATCTATCTGATAATGAAGACTTCAAAAGTTACCAGAGATGCACTTTTATGATAAACATTTTAAAGAAATGAATAAATGTACAAATGAAGGCGAATATACATGTCTGGGGTTAATGTTGCAGTCTGGGTCGGTCCCTGAGAATGGGCTCCAGGACAAGTCTGAAACCTCGGAAGACTAAGCCTCTGGTCCCGGTGACCAACCCAGATTGGATCCTGAATAAATTTAGTTTAATGGCTCTTTGTTCTTATTTTCAAGAAAGTCTTCGTTTCTTGAAATGGGTACACAAATTTATATATATTTATAAAAACTTATAGTTTTCCTAATGTATTACCAACTTCTTTTCAGGTTAAGCAAATGTCTTACATTTAATTTTTAATATGTAAAAATATATTGTTAGGAATTTTTAATTCTTTAATTTTTAACATTTTTATTTTTACTTATTTATCTGTAGATAATAAAGTCGAACATTCTTTTAAAAATCTGAAACCTTCCAAAAACAGGATCTTTGAGCCCAAGGATTATCCTTTGCAGAATAAACCTTATGGAAAAATTGGACAACTATGCTGTTGCTTCATTATTTTTAGAAATGCATTCACACTGGCAGCAGCACTCTATAGCAGTAATATTGTAGCAATTACACAAGTGTGATGTGGTCTAGCTCTAAATTAATGGCTACCATCCTATTTTTTTTTTAAAAAAATCCAATGTTCCTTCTAAAATCAGGTGATAAGAATATAGCAATAGCAATAGCACTTAAACTTACCATATATACTGCTTCACAGTGCTTTACAGCCTGCTCTAAGTGGTTTACAGAGTCAACATACTGCCCCCAATAATCTGGGTCCTCATTTTACACATCTCAGAAGATGGAAGTCTGAGTTAACCTTGAGTCAGTGAGAATCAAACTGCTGGCAGTCAACAGAATTAGCCTGTTATGTTGCATTCTAACCACTGCGCCACCATGGCTCTTCAAGGCTTCTTCAGTGGATTTAAGAAATAACCGATTCCAATGTTCCACTTCAGGTCATAGTCCAGAGACCTCCTTATCTCTGAAGCATGGACAGTCACTTCAAAGCTACTGCAACTGGAAAGTACAGAGCAGCTAGCATACCAAATATCTTGCTTCCAGGATTTGGGAGAAAGTTTTGTTGCTTACCAAGTCCATGAAGAAGACACTTTTCATTTGTTATACTTTTATACCAGAGTTCCCTAACCTTTCTGGTTTTGGGGACTGGTGGTGGAGGGGAGAAGAGATGGTTCTGAGCGAGTGGCTGGCAAGCACACATGTGCAGTTCCAATTGGACTGTGCATGCATGCACTCGCCCATTGCTTGTGCAAGTAGGGATGCATGTGTATGCTCACGCATATGCCTGCCTTTTCTGTGGCCCAGTTGCAAACACCTCACGGCCCACTAGTGGCCATGGCCCAGCGGTTGGGGACCTCTGTTTTATACTACTATACTGTTACATTGTTTGAGGTTCAGGCCCTGGGTGAGAACACTAGATTTCTGGAATCTTGTTGACATTTGTATGTAGATAACATTGAGCTAAATGAACCAATTGCAATTATCTTTGTTATAGTCTAATATAAATGTATGCATTCTATATTATTATTTACATCAATTTACCATAATATAAGCTTAGACTGTTATTTTATTGCTCAATGAATTTGCTTAGTTATGCATTTAGCTTTCCCTCTTAAAACTGAGGAGTTGGGATAAATGTTGCCTGATAAACAAATAAATGCAATGAAGAAATGAGAAACATATACTACATTGTTCAGTTTGCTTAATGCTAGGTTTATACATTTTCCTGCCGAATCAATATGTAGAACAGAAATGGGGAAAGCTTTGATGAAGTCAGGGCCAGCAGCCTTTTACTCTTTCTCACCTTCAAAGTTAGTGAACAAGGAAGTGCCTACATTTGCTGCTATTATTTCCCTCTACCAGAAAAACAAGGGAGAATCCAGCAAAAGAGCACTCAGGAATGACATCCGTTGACTTGCTAACTCTGGCAAAAGTGTGGACTTTCGACAACTTTGGCTGTTCAGCTTCAAAACAGAATTCAGTGGCATGTGAACTGAATGATACCACAGAAAAAGCAGTGAGTCCTTGTGGTCTCTGATCATTTCTGGCTTAGTCCTTTTTTTCGAAAGGGATGGGGGAATAGTAAAAAGCATGCTGAGGAATTCTAGAAGACTGTAAGGAAGAAAAGAAAATATGCTCCAGGCTGCCCTTCCTCAAGAAAAAAAGAAATACAATTAAGATACTTTAGTAGATTGTTGGTTTGTTTTAGTACAATGTGCATTTTATGTGTGTGGTATAGATGGATGTTTTGCTTAGATACAATTTTTCCCTGATCGTTTTAAGTTTATTTTCTATCAGATTTCATGTGAGACATACCAGTGATCTTGTCTTTCGAGATATTGAGTACCATATTCAGAATCTGGCTTTCCAGCAGAAGGTTTCTATACAAGCCACCTAGATTATCTTCTTTACTTCAAACAAGAATGAAGATTACAAGATTGGCCACTACAGTACACAGTAATCATAGCTGAATCTGAGTTTAAATTCCAGCTTTTTGTTACAGTTTTTAGACACAACTAATACTTGAGTATTCTCTTCAAGATATGCTGATATAGTAATTCTCTCAAGTCTGGGGCAACTATATGATTTGACATTTGATGCTTAAACACATCTTGGCCAATTTACTTACTTTTGAGCTTCATCAGCTTCTTTTGTGAAATTAGGAGACCCCGAATCAGAGGACAAAAGTCTGACTTTGTATTTTAGAATTCAAAGACTTGTAGGAAGTCAGCATCCACCCACCCCTCCTAGAGAATTAAATATTTGGGGGAATATTAAAAGAGGCAGGATAGAATATTTTCCCTAAAGGAGAAATAGAGAAAAAATCTTAACAAAGGCAGAAAGCAGCCCCAGTCTTCCTGCTATAGAAAAAGCCTCAAGCAAAAACACGAAGAGGCCAGTTTTTAGGAGATTTTGTATCCATTCAGAAAGATTGGGCCACTCTATTCATAAGCAAAGAGCAAACAGAGACTCCAGATAAGCAACACAATTAGGCAAGCCAATAGTTGACAAGATTAGCTCGGACAGACACTTAGGATTTGCATTTCCCCTTTTGCCTATAGAGCCAGCCATGACTTCTATATGACCCCATAGGAATCTGCCAACAGCCATTAGAATATTAAAAGACATGTTCTTGCACAGGAACAGGCATCTCAAATACAAAGCCCCAAAGAAGGTATAAAAACCCACCTATTCTCAATTCCATTTTGTCAGCCACTCCAAAAACATGCTGTTGTCAAAAGTTTCTGGCTAACAATAAACAGAGATCTCCTTTCCAAAATGTAGCCTACTTTCAGCTCATTTCTATAGCGTCCTCCCGGCTTAGAATAGGATCAGATTTTTCTTCCAATAGTATCTTCAAACATCCTTCTTAGCCCCTCAGCAGAAATTGACAATACTAACTGCCCCATTTCCAATCCAACAGTCTTCTGTTTTCCTGCACCATACGTCTATAAAAGAAAAGCCATCATTTTCTGAAATGCAGAGTGTGTTTTGTTATTGGTTTCACCACAATGGTTGCAAAATTCCATTTTGTGAATCAATAATTTCCTCTGATACAATCATTTTGCGAGAATATCTACTACACCCTGAAAATTCTACATGTATCCGCTGCTTGGCACACAATCATGTATTTAGGTCAAAATTAAAACAGTTACAATGGAAAACCTAAAATAATTTCTGCGGAAAACCATTTTGGTAGTTGTAAAGACTTTGATCCTGGCTTTCTCTTTGAAGAATATGGCAAACAACACTCATATTATAGTGAATCTATAAACACTTCATTGCATTGCCATTGAAAAAAAATGAATAACTGCTGAAGAAATAAACTCAACATGATTAATCTTTCCTAACCATTAAGAATCTCTGCTGACATTTAAAAAACAAAAAACAAAAACTAATACTATGATCTTCAGTAAACCCTATTCTATCTAGATTCTCATAGGTAACATTTCTTTAAAATGAAGCATATCTGAATAGCAGAGTCAGAATAAACAGAATGCTCAAAAAAGTGGATATCCACCCTGAACAAAGATACCATCTTTCTTCATCACACAGGAAATATTAGACTGGGAGTGGGGAACTGTTCTGTTTCATTTTTTGTACTCTCAGCAAAGCTAAGTTGACCTTTACATTTTTAAGCTAAATTACATTGGGGGATAAAAAGAAAGTAGACTTCCTTCTTTGGAAGGAAGGAATACAAAATTTGCAGAGATCAAATGAACAGATACAGGGTTGAATTTGTACATGCATTTGGAGAAAGGACCATACAAAATGAGAGTCAATTGTCAACAGATA